ATATATATATATATTTTTTTTTTTCTTTCTTTTACGTGCTAAAGATTGTTTTCTGAATTTGGGTTTCACACACTATATATCCATGCCTCTCCACAAGTGTTTTTTGTTGAGTTTTGCATTGGAAGCACAATATTGCTCTCAAACTGAGCATCTGCTGCTCAGCACCATGGACAGCGCACAAGGGCAACCCCTTGGTTAGATCTGTCAGAGCACTTAGGCTGCTTTGATGCTTAGATCAGTGGTTCTCAGTCTCACAGAACTGCACATTTTGGATGTCTCCCTTATTTGACACACCCATTTCAGGTCTTGGAGGTGCCCTACTAACAATCTGATGAGTTGAATCAGGTTTGTTAGGTTAGGGAGACCTCCAAAATGTGCAGATCCACTGGCTTAGATGGTGGTGCATAATTTGGCTGTCCTAATGTTTATTTTTCTTATAGAGCTCAAGCAGGGTTGGTAGAGATAACAGTAACAATCAGAGGGCTGTTTAATTAAAGTTCAGACCAATAGCCCAGATCATGCACAAAAAAAGACGCGCTTAACGTCCGGATGAAATCCCTTGCGTGGCCCCAGGTAACGACCAGCATCGATCAAATATAATTGGTCGACCACAAAACAGTCAGGCGGTATTTCATCTCAAGGCATATTGTGCGGTTGTAAAAATTAGTCTGTCTGGATTTCTTTTGTGTGATAAAAGTTTACTGATTTCACAGAGCAAAGCCTGTCAGCTTTTATCGCTTTGTTCCAAACTGTTTTGGTGTCCTAACAGAAAGAACTTGTACCATCCTGCCTTATCACATTCTACATTTAGGTAACTTGTTTTCCCCCATCTAGGTCTAAGGTTTGAGAAATGAGAACTGAGACTGTGTTTTATTTTAGTGCTAGAGCTCCCACCACAGGAATCCTTCTCAAGGGACATGGTGTCCTCTGCGCTGCTGGGTCCATATATTACCAAACCGTGATGGCGTGTACCCATGTGACTATGGTTTGTCCTTCAGGTGAGACTACCTGTATGGCTGTCACACCTTGGGCTGCCGCAGGTAACATGGCTGAGAATAGCACAGGAATGGCTGGAAATAGCGCCTGTCATATTGGAAGGAAAGTGACAACAATGACACAGGGGGCGATAATAGGGAAAATCCCATTAGGCGACATCCATGGTGGCTCTCCAAAAATGATAGCCTACATGTGGAGAGCATTAACAAAGAGGTTGAATTTTGTTTTTTTCTAATGGTGGATGGATATTGTGTTCATTATATTACAGACACAAATGAAAGAGCACGCACCCAAGCCAAAGCAGAAATGCTGTTGCCAGTTTTTATTTTGTATGTGCTGTACAAAGTCAAATCATTTGTGAGGAAAATGTTATGCTAGTCCATACAAAATTGGCCACCACAATGCAAAAGTTTTCAGGGTTTTCAAGATATTCAGGGTGATTGCTGTCATGTTCCAGGTGGTTGCTACGTGGTCTCTGTGTAACTCTCGTCTCTAGAAATGGTTTGCTTGGCTTTTTTTATTTTGGCCCATTTGTATCATATGCCTGTTGAAAATTATAAGTTAGACCTTTCTTAAACAATCCGAAGTATTTTGCAGATATTTTAAAGACTGTTTCAATAGTTTTTACCAATCCAATCACAGTCACTATGGTCCAAAACAACATGGCACCCCATTAAAGCAATAGTTCACCCAAAATTATCTGTAAATTTACTCACCCTCATGGTGTTCAGGACGTCAATGGGTTTGTTTGTTCACTGGAACAGATTTGGAGAAATTTATCATTACATCACTTGCTCAGCAATGGATTCTTTGAAGTAAATGGGTGCCGTCGGAATGAGAGTCCAAACAGCTGATAAAACATGAAATTATGGATTATTGTGATGTTTTTTTATCAGCTGTTTGGGCTCTCATTCTGGCAAGTAATCCACAACACTCCAGTCCATCAGGTCTTGTGAAGTAAAAAGCTGAATGTTTGTAATAAACAAATTCATCTTTAAGATGTTTTAACTTCAAACCATTGCTTCTAACTAAAATATGAATTCATAATCCCCAAAGCTGCTTTCTCCAATGAAAAAGTCATGACGTTTGAATCAGGAGAGAAATATACACAGATAAAGCACTGTTTACAAGCAAAAACAGTTCTAAACAAATATGTTGGGGCAAGAATGTGCAATTTTTATGTGCAAGAACAACAGGGGATGGACGTTTTCACTGGAGGAAGCGTAATTATGGATTATGGATATTTTGGCCAGAACGACAGTTTAAAGTTAAAATGCCATGATGGATTTGTTTCTTATAAACGCACAGTTTTTCACTTCACATGATGGACTAGAGTCATGTGGATTGATGTTTTTATCAGCTGTTTGGATTCTGACGGTACCCATTCACTGCAGAGGGTCCACTGGTGAGCAAGTGATTATGTAATGCTAAATTTCTCCAAATCTGTTTGGATGAAGACAAACTCATCTACATCTTGAATGGCCTGAGGGTGAACTATTCCTTTACCTTTCATTGTATGGACAAACAACTTATTTTGTTTCTCAAAAAAAGAATGTCATGCATGTTTGGAATGACACGAGGGTGAATAAATGATGACAGAATTTTCTTCTTTTTTTGATTAAACTATCCCTTTAATAATTGGGTTCAGATTTTTGAAAAATCGCTAACCTTACGTATGATAAATAGAAAAGTGATGCTTTCCTTAGCGAGCACCACTAATTACACCCTTTACTTTATAATATTGTGCAACATCCAAGTTACATAAGAAAGCCTGCTGATTTGTTATTGTCAAGAGAAGCTATACATGTATTAAACTCCCCTCTGAAGCATCCTAATGTGTGTGCTTGCTGTTATGCGTTAATATTCCATCAAGACGAAAGACTTCAAAATACTCTTTTCACACAGGTACCTGTCAGGACAGCATATGGTGGGTAATTACAGTAAAGCAGTGTGTGTGTGCCAGTTGCGTGTGTTTGCAGTTGTGTGTTACCCAAAGGAAAGGAGAGAGTGTGGTTAACTGTGAAAGAGTAATTTAGAGTAATTTTGGATGAGTCCTTTTAAAAGAACACTTCAAGTAGATGCTTCCGTTGCTAAAATTACGAAGCGCAGGGTTAGACACCCAAGTCAGGTAATGGAGATATTTCAAGCGGTGCACTCTTGCATGTGATGCATAATCACACTGCCAGCGAACTCAACACATATCAGGCACAAAATAAGGAAATTGGCATGTCTGCTGCACCTCTTCCAGTTTGGAACAGATCTATAGGTCTGAAAGACGGTAAAATTGAGGCTCTAGACTGGGAGAACAATGCGTGTCTGTTGTTTGAACTTGGGATAGAGATGTCAGTGTGCTGTTCTTCTGTTGTTCACTGAACTTCACACAGAGCTGAAACTGAGCTCATCAGTCATCATTAGGGAAGAGAGAGAGGGACTGGAAGCCTAAGAGGGAAAACAAAAAAAGATGGACGGGCTAAAGAAAGCATGCAGGGAAATGAAGCAGCAGAACATGGTCTAAAGAGAACGAAGAAAGAAGAACCTTTGCGTATTACATGTTGACATTATTGGATGGTGGAAACAGGACACTGTGAGGATGCACTCTGCAATTTCAGAAGGGTTATCTACACGGATCAGACCAGAATACAGATCGAACTCTCGCTTACTGTTCCAAAGTCTCCGAGAATGGAATTCTGGAATCGTGCCAGTCTAGACTTTCAGACCTTGCCATCTTCCTTTGTCTTATTAACATTCAGAGAATACTTTTGTGTGCTCTGGCACGAAGCATGAATTGAAACTAAATATGAAGGACCCTGCTGAGACTGTGACAAAAGATTATGTAACCACAACAGATTAGTGAAATAAAAAGGTTGAAATGATTATATGTGATGGAGCCATTTTAGACTCTTCCTATTGCTGCTTTGCTTATTGCTGAAAGGATTTTAGCACCATATGCATATGGTTTTAAATTAGTGCGCTTAGTATCTTGTCAGCTCCATGCCAGTAGAGCTCATTAGCCTGGAGTATTTAAAACGGTAGTTTTTACTGAGATTCAGGAGTCTATTATACATAAAAACATACTTAGGTCATATCAGTGAAGAATTTAAATGTTTTCTCCTTTATCTGTGCTCAAACCTGTTCTCAGATGTCAGCGCAAGACGTTATTCATGATGCATTAATGCATTCTTTCAAGGAAATAGGATTCAGGACAAAAAGACAGTCAAGATCTCAAGCCAGCAAAATCAAGGCTGAGCTAAAAACACACTTAATCATAAACTCTCTATACCTTAAGAGTTTGAAGGATGTGTCCTACACTTAGAATACTAGTGTACAGCTTATTGTGCACAGTATACTGTACGCCATCTGTTGTTTTTTACAAATAGTATGTGAAGCAGTATGAAAACAATGCATAGTTGTCATCGCATTTAATTCAGAGAGATATGTCTAGTTATGACTTTGGAAAATGAAAATGGTAATTTTGTACTGATTTTCTTTTAAATTGAAGTTCTATAAGTGATTTTTTGATTGTACTAAAGCACACAATTACCAAAATTGCACACAATCTCTGAAAAACAATTCTACAGCCAGTTATTCTACTTTGAAATGTCTAATTTAAATTGACTTTCATTGTACAGACAAAACCCACTGAAATCTTCTTTATTTTTGTACTTTTTGACACAGTGTTTGACGACAGACTTTGGAATGATGTGAGGTTGAGTAAATAATGACATAATTTCCATTTTTAGGGTGGAATGTCCGTTTAAGTCATCATTTTTGCTATTCTGTTTTGTGCCAGTAGTGACGCAGAAATTACAGCTTCAACTATTGATGTTAACGATGTTTTGATTGTTTCAAAAAAAGTATTTAGTCCACGAAAGGTCAGGTTTAGCACATTGCATCGTAGGGTACAGTATTTCATGCAGTGTGATACTGCACATTGAGACATAGTAGAATTGCATGCTGAAAAAACATACTATTTACTGCAGGAAGAATAAAAGTATTATAGTAACAGTGTTCAGATCGTGTTTCTCATAGACTAGAGTATTCGTCATTCATGTAAAGCTCACATCCAGTGTCCGTTCTAACTATACTCGGCCCACCTTGAGTCTCTATTTAATGCAAAAAGAGGCTTCAAATGCAAGACTGCATTGCAAATTTGCAATAGAAGGTTCCAGCATCTGTCCTGCCATTCCCTCCCTCAAACATCTCTCCCTCTATCTCAACCAGTTGTTCTCATCATTCCTCTTTTCCTTGCGTTCTTCCTCCCCTCACTAATCATACTGCCTCTTTAAATAGCTCTCAGGTGTTCCTGTTTGGGACATAGACTCACAAGAGGGAGGAAGTGTGTGTGTGTGTTTTATACAACAATCTGGGGCAGACGAGAGATGTGGACATTCCCCCTCTCTCTCCTGCCTCACCCCTTTTTTCCCCCTCCATCTTTCTACATGTTTTTCAGAGTAGATATGCAGTTTCTTGGATAAACACACACACACACCCTGTTTTTACAGTCTGGATTCAATCTGTCCAATTAAACATAAACTGACAGAGTAAACCACATGAGGTCTGGTATGGAAATGAGAGACGATATATATATATATATA